AACTTCTTAGTGTCTGTCATTTGTAAACAACACCTTCTTTTTCTTTTTTTGAGACAGGTATTACTATGTAACCCAGGCTGGCCTCAAACTGATGCCAAACTTCAGCTTTCCTGGTGCTGGAATTACAGGTATACATCAAGACACTTGGCTAGACAGTATCTCTTATTGAAATGATAACATGGTAACTTCTTCATCTCCCTCTGCCCCTATGGCCTGCCCTTCTGGAATCTACCCCCCTCCCCCCAAAACACACCCATTTGCTGACTCCAGATCAGCTCCAGGGCATCTCTACTCTTTGGATGACATTGCTTCGACCTTCCTTGACATTTCTGGGCCAAAGGAGAACACTTCACTAATCAGAAAACAGAGAAGAGACTGGGAAACTTTGATGGACCAACCAGTATTTCAAGGCTAGCCTTGAAATGAAATCATGTCTCAAAAAACAAACAAAAAGATTGAAAACAAAAACTAAAAACAGGAGTCAAGCTGCCCTGAGGCTAGTAAAACCTTGGAGATATAAGATGGTAACATTAGATTGAGGAAAGGCAACAACACAAACCTGGATTATCCAGGTAGCCCAGCTATCAGCCACCCTATAGATAATAGGGGCCTAATACCACTTGCTGGCTAGCAACCTTGAATCACCTGGACATTGTAAGACTCTCCACAATAGTGGAAGAATAACCATAGGGTGGACAGAACCAGGAAAGGGAAGGAGCTTGAAAGGATGGGTAAAAATCCTAAACTTATAAAATGGGGTGGGGGGTATCTCACAAGAGACAGAGCAACATTGGGGCTATCTCAGATCAGTACACTAAGAACTGCCTTTACTGCTGGGCATTGGTGTTGCACACCTTTAATCCCAGCACTCATGAGGTAGAGACAGGCAGATCTCTGTGAATTCAAGGCCAGCCTGGTCTACAGAGTTAGTTCCAGGACAGGCTCCAAAGCAATAGAGAAACCCGGTCTTGAACCCCCCCCCAAAAAAAAGCCTTGTCTTTCCATTGTTCACTGTAAGCCTTTTGTTTGGAAGATGTGGTTAGGGGTTCAGGAGTCTCAGCCCAACCTCAACAGGGACATGATCTGGCAGCTCACTCAGGGGCCAGAAACGGGAATGATTTCAGGGAACAGAAAGAGACAAAAGGAATCTGCTTGGGATGGTAGTATGTAGCCAAGGGTGGTCACTAAATGTGCTTGCTCCTCTAACAAAACCCACTGGTATATACCCTATGAGCTTGAAACTGGGAAGTAAAAAGGATAATATGCCTTTAGAACAGCAGCTTGGTTTTTAGTTTTTGTAAATGCTATTTCTATTTTTGTAAAATCATTTCGATGCTTAAAGGTAAACATACAAAGTCTTAGGCTTAGAGAAAAATGGTTGTTTAACACATAAACAGTATCACAAAATCTGTTTCACTCACATGTAATTAGATTACATTTTTTGTTGTTTTTCAAGACAGGATTTCTCTGTATAGCTTTGGAGTCTTTCCTGGAACTTGCTCCATAGCCCAGGCTGGCCTTGAACTCACATAGACTCACTCACCTCGAAGCTGGTGATTAGATTATCTTTGTTGTCCTTGAAATTAATGCTTCATTTTCTACTTTTTGTTTTATACTTTTTATGATGCTGGGGATAGAACTCAGGGCTCTGTACCAGCTAACTACAAACTGTACCCAAGTTACACCTCCAGCCCTTGATTTCTCTGTATGTGGGCACACAATGTGTATACACATGGACTCACACTTTCTTGAGACAAGGTCTCTATCTGTAGCCCAAGTTTGTCTCAAATTCATGTAAACCACCTATTTCCACCTACCAAATACAGGGACTAGAGACATAGGCCATCATACCTGGCTTTTTTGTTTTGAGACAGGGTTTCTCTATGTAGCCCAGGGTGTTTTGGAAGTAGGTCTGAAGAGAGGGCTGGCCTCAAATTCAGAGATTCGTCTGCCTGTGCCTCCCAAATGCTGGGGTTAAAGATGTGTACCACTACTGCTGGCTTATTTGCCCATCTTTAGACTTTTTCTTTCATTCTTTGCTTGAAAAGAAAACTGCTTCCCCAGAGGAAAGGAAAATGTGGATCTGAATTCTAAATTTACCCAAGGTCAGTCAGTCTATGACCTTGGACTTCTGATATCTAGAAAATCTGAGCCCTATCTGATCCCTATTCTCCAGATAGGTGTTTGTGAAAAGTACTGAGTGATCATTCAATCCCAGGTTCCTCACTTCACCAGTCTGTTTGCTCTCCCAGAAACAAACCCTCAGGCTTTCAATACACTGCCATCATAAAGTGATGGCACCACACACCTCTCCCCAAAAGCAGTAGTAAATACAGAAGGGAAGGCAAACAAAAGCTTCCTTAAATTCTCATGCTAGAGTTCTGAGCAATCCTCAGGCAACTGCAGAGAACTTAAGAGGCCATCCTTCTCCCTACCCTCTGCCACCCATACTGTCATACTATGGCTCTTCTGATTCCTTCTAAGACAAAGACACTGACCACCAGCTAGTTTCCTTACCCCCAAGGGTAAGGACGGACGTGGCTCCCAGAGGAGCAGCTCACCTCGACACACAGGCACACATTTGCCCAAGCTGAAGAAATGGGAGTGCAGCTCCTTGGTGAAGCAGATGTCTGCAGCTGCTGGGGTCCTAGAGCAACAACAGACCCAGTCATCCCTGCCTTCCTAGTCCTTGTCCCCAACTCTCCCCACCCAGTACAATGCCTGCCATCATCAATGTCATACAGAATGAAGCTTAAGAGAAGGGCCTGTGGGGCCCCACCCATGCCCTTCCTGGAATGCTGGATGCAACCTCCTGAGCAGAAGAGGAAGGCAAATATGGGCAGAAATATGTGGGCCACTTCAAGGGGCCTATTGCTCCTCACCAACGCATCAATTTCAGGTTCCATATGTGACGGAGTTTCAGGATCCCTAGGAAAAAGGAAAGCTCTTGATGTGACATGGCCACTTCCACATTTCTTCTAACTTTCTGATATCCTGTCCAAATAACATTGTCTGGAGGAATCCTAAGGGAGACACAAAAATTCCAGCATCTAGGCACTATATCCCACAAATAATGCCATGGTTTTATAAAGAGCCTAGAGAGAAGTGAATCTATTCTGTGTTTGGCTGGGGCCTGTTCCTCTTTTGCCTCCCTGAACCCAAGCACACGAGCACATTACCCCAGAGATGAGGGTCATCCATGCAGGATTGGTGGTTGGAGACAGTGATGAGGGGGGTGGAAGGGCCTCGGTTCTCAATGAGCTCATACAGAACTTCTTTGTTGTGCACGGTGAGTTGGTTCATGTACTCTGGGAAGAGAATTCCGTCTCAAGCTCTTGCTCATCTCCACCTGCCCAGGGATTCTTTCAGTGCCAGAAGAGACCCTGTCACATTCCCAGCACCCAAAACAAAATCCAACTCTAGTCAGGCTGACGGACGGACTCTGCCTTGGCCTTTGGCCACTCACTGGTCCAGAAGCAGCTATAGGTGCCCACCAGGCCCATGACGACGCTACTGGCTATGGTCCAGGTGAGCCGGGGCACCGCGGGGAACGGCCACTTCACGTGGAGGGGCATCTCCTTCAGTCCCGACCCCGCAGTCCGGAGCTCCTTCTGCCCCGAGCCAGCCCGTGTCCTCCACCGCTCAGGAAGAGGGATCTCCGGCAGACTAGCAGAGGGTTAGACTAAGTTCACCTCGTGGGACAGCTCAGAGTCTCCTTAGCACCGCTCTCTGGACAGAGAGGAGTCGCCACTTAAGCCAGCAGTCAGGGTTGCTGTGGAGAACCATACGAATCAGGAGCTTGCCTTGGCGGCGGCCTGACGATCCACGAACCCGCCGGAAAGCGAGCCGGAAAAGCTCCTCGCCTGTTGTCGTAAAACAGGCCTAGGTCGCCTGACGGCTGCCAGGGGCAAGTCTACGCCAGCCTCGCCCCGCCCCCTTCCCTTCAGGGTCTTGGTTAGAGACCTCCATAAGCTCCACACCTGGTTGGTTCCTAAACTCTACATGACGTGAGCTACACAGCACCATTGCCTGAAGCAACTCAAGGCCTAGGCTGGTGGAACCCTATCACTTATTTCTCTCCCCTCCCCCACCCAGTGTGAATCCGGTTGGGCACGCTTCAAAAGGCGCACGCGGAGGCAAGAAAAGGACATTGAGTGTCCGCGTTCATCATTCTGTTCTTTACTACTTTCGAAATAAGGACTGTTTTTGAGCCTGGGATCACGCTTTCCGCCTATGTCTGCGTCCAGCAAGCCTCAGACATTCTCTGCCCGCTCCATTTAAAGCAGTATAGTCTCATACTTAATAGGTAACCTAAGCTGACCTTGATGTCACAGCAATCCTCCTACCTCTGTCTCTCAAGTGCTCGTATTATGTGGGTGTCACAAGAGGCTTTTGTGTGTGTTTTGTTTGTTTGTTTGTTTTTTTGAGAGAGAGAGAGAGAGAGAAAGTGACTTACTGTGATCCCTGGCTAGTCTGGATCTTAGTAATATACTAAGGGGGAGGAGGAGGGGCGATTATCTCCTCGTTAGAGTACTTGCCTAGCATTCAAGTGGTAGCAAAAGTAAATTTCTGCCAAGGGACGTTTTTCTAAGCTGTCACTCCATAGTCACACAGTAGGGACCTGAAAGGACGACTCAGTCACTAGTCATGCTGTGTATCGTGTGCAGAAGGTCCTTTGGTTTGCGTTTTCTGAGCAGTGACATCGGCAAACATAATTTAAGAGGGCCTGAGGACCTGGAAAGAAAACTGCCTTTGTTTCTCTTCCTGCTGTAGGCAGGGGCCAGAGAATGAACGAACAAACCTGCTATCCTTTTTCTCTAGGTCCAAGTAACTCCTCAATGATGGACCACAGCACTTCGGCGCGGGTGGCACCAACCACACTCAAGTCCCTAAGGTGCTGTCCGCTCTGCAGAAGCACCACCCATCTTGGCGGGGAGGGCGGGCAGATGGCCAGTTCCCAGGCAGGGCGGAGCCCAGCCGGGCTTGTTGAGACAAGAGCGTTAGCTGGCTGTGGGGCTGGCCCTTTGGGTGGGTCTGGAAGCGGGCTTCCTCTTCATGCCCTCTCAAGTCCTTACCCTGGCTGGCGCTGCGATTCTGTGGAGTGTTTCAATCGGTTCAAGGCTGAGGCACGCGTGGGACCAAGTTGGTCTACTGAGGTATGAGAATTCTGCGGGCTAGGGAAAGAGAGGAAGTTGCTCTCAGGGGAGGGACTTAAGAGGAGAAGGGACTTTTGATCCATAACTAAGGCCGGATTTGGAAGACTAGGATGGAGATTGAACTGAGGACAGGAAGAGTCGTTTTTTTTTTTTTTGCGGTTCTTTCCCCAGAGTTCTAGCGGTCTCAGTCACCAAATGTAGCTTAGCCAGTGCAGAGCTGCAACAGTGCTCGAATGTATCCCAGACACCGGTGCAAAGAGACAAAAATAACCATGAGTGGCAGAGCAGGTGGCCAGAGAGAAACAAATATCAAGACCAGCAAGGATGACAGTAACACAAACGCTGGGATGGGCAGACCCGGGAAGATAGAACAAGACAGACAGGAAATTAACAGAGAGGAGAAAGTGACAAAGTGACTGAGAAAAGCAAGCAGACAAAAGCAGAGGGCCTCATGCTTCGGAATGTGACTTGGACAGGGAGTCTATAGTAAAGGGCTGAGCCCCAAAGATATGGTAAAGCAGAGGTGAGCCTGAGACATATGCTCAAAGAGGGGATCCAGGAGCACCCAGTAAGGTTGAGGACAGTCTGGAACTACATAGTGAATTGGTTATAAATTAACACTTGTATATGAAACAAGCAAATGAAAGCAGAAAGAAAAGGGGGAAAGGAAAACATATAACATGTCATAAATAGAAAGACATGGGTTGATATAATGACTCAGCAGATAAGGCCATTTGCTGTTAAATTTTTGATGGCCTGAATTTGATTCTTAGAACCCACATGGTGAAAGAAAAGAAGAGATTCTGCATAGAGGCATGCACACATGCATACACACACAAAGGTTAAAAAAGGGAGCCTGGTGTGTCACATGACTTTAGTCAAACCTCTTGGGAGGCAGAGACAGGCAGATATCTGTGAGTTCAAGGCCAGCCTGGTCTACAGAGTGAGTTCCAGGACAGCCAAGGCTACACAGAGAAACCCTGTCTCAAATTAAAAAAAAAAAAGAGTCATTCAGGCATGATGGTGTACTCATTGTGCTTGTGGACTTTGAAGCCCACAAGGATATCATTATATAACTCAAGCTGGGCTCAGAATTGTGATTTTCTGCCAGGTGGTGGTGGCACACTTTTTAATTTCAGCACTTGAGAAGCAGAGGCAGGTGGATCTCTGTGAGTTTGAGGCTACTCTGGTCTATAAAAGGAGTTCCAGGACAACTAAGACTGTTACATAGAGAAACCCTGTCTCAAAAATAAACAACTGAGTGTTGTTGGTGCACACCTTTAGTCCCAGCACCTCAGAAGGCAGAGGCAGGTGGATCTCTGTGAGTTTGAGTCCAGCCTGGTCTACAAAACTAGTTCCAGTACAGCCTCCAAAGCAATACAGAGAAACCCTGTCTTGAAAAACTAACTAACTAAATAAAATCAACAACAACAAAAGTTGTGATCTTCTTGCCTTCATCTCCCAGATGCTAGAATTATAGGAGTATGCCACCACACTTAGCCTTGTTTTTTGAAAGACAGAGTGTCAGGGGCCCTCTTAGCACAGTAGGCAGTGCATCAGAAAGACAGGGTCTCAGGTCTGGGGAGTGCTCAGTGGCAAAGTGCTTCTCTACCATGCCCAGAAAGTTTTATGTCTTACCACATGTATCTTACACTTCCCAGGAAAAGATGCCAGAAACATTCAGGACCAGCAGCAGAGAGAACACCAATTAGCTGAGATCAGCTGCAGTGTCAATGCACTCTGAACAGCCTGGATTCCTTTGGAGGGGTCCTAATGCCACATATGGCCATGCAAGGACTTGTTGCGGCTCTCCTGCTCATTCTCCTGGCTGGTGGAGCTGAAGACTTCCGTATCTGTGCCTTCAATGCCCAGAGACTGACATTGGCCAAGGTAGCCAAAGGGCCAGTGATGGATACCTTAGTTCAGGTAAGTTAAATTCATTGTTGCAGAAATCTGTGTTCCTAGGAACCTTGACCAAAAGCCCTCAGTTCTACCTGACCAGGGACATGCACTAAAAAGGAGAGGACATCTGGAAATGTAAATGCACAGATGTGAACAGTGTCTTTCAACTGTCATTTCATTACCAACCTCTTCCTCTTAAAAAAAAAAAAATGACCAAGGTATAGTGGAATGATGCTCTTTGTTTTCCTGGGATCTTCCTGCCTCCACTTGCTGTCTGTGGCCACTCTGGTGCCAGTCTTTATACATGCCAACTCCTCCATAGTGATAGCTTTTAATTGAGCTGTTATCTCTCATTCCCTGCAGATCCTGGCCCGATGTGATATCATGGTGCTTCAAGAGGTGGTGGATTCTTCCCAGAAAACTGTCTCTCTTCTGCTTCGAGAAGCTAATAGGTAAAGGGCCCTGTTAATCTAATCTGGGTTCCACCTAGAGCTTCAAGGACCCTGATTCTGTATATATTTTCTCTGGCAGATTTGACAGTTCCAGGACATACAGCTTCCTAAACAGCTCCCTGCTAGGGCGCAGCACATACAAGGAGAAGTATGTGTATATCTACCGGTGAGTACAGGGGTTGAATTCTATCCTCATAAAGACAATTCTAGTTGGTCCTGGTGGTCTGAAGACCCAGTTAGTCTATTCATGAGGCTAAATCAGGTAAAAGAATTGCTTGAGTACATGTTCAAGGCCAGGTGGTCAGTAATGAAAATGGATCTCAAAAAAAAAAAAAAAAAACTCATGAAAGTTCTAGGTAGAGCTGGAGAAATGGTTCATTTATTTAAGAGTACTTGCTACTCTTTCAGAGGAGTAGGGTTTTATACCCAGCACCCATACAATAGCACACAGCCATCATTAACTCCAGTTCCAGAGGATTGGACACCCTCTTCTGGCCTCTGCAGAGGCAGACCCATGGTGCACAGATATACATGCAGGCAAAACTCTCATACACATAAAATGAAAATAAATCTTAAAACAAAAATAGTTCCAGGGAGCTAGAGATATAACTCAGTTGCAGGGTACATGTTTATCCCTGATGATAAAAACAAAAAACACTCTAAGCTAGAAGTAGTGACACATGTCTTTAGTTCCAACACTCAGAAGCAGACAGGTGGAGCTCTGTGAGTTCAAGGGCAGCCTGTGTCAAGTTCCAGGACAGCCAAGACTACATAATAGAGAAACGTTGTCTTAAAAAAAAAAATGAAAAGAAAAACCAGAAGTTCTAGAAAAAAAGGTTATGCCCACATGAATCTGGCAGAACAAGGAACCAAGAGTGTTGTTCCTCCTTGAGCAGTAGCTCTGCTGTATTCACATAAGACTTGGGGCCACTGCTTTCCACCCCTTGGTTTTCCCAGGTCTGACAAGACACAGGTTCTGAATTCCTACCAGTACAATGACACAGATGACCTTTTTGCCCGAGAACCATTTGTGGCCCAGTTCACTCTCCCTAGCAAAAGTAAGAGGGGAAGAAAGGTGGGCCTGGTACATGGAAATGGGAGGAGGAATAGCTGGCTTTCTTGTGAGTTGGTTCTTAGGGGAAGTGGAAGTGAATATGTGTGAGAAGTGCTGACAGCTATGGCAGCCTCAGCTTCTTGGGCCTTGCAGTCCTTCCAAGTGTGGTACTGGTTCCACTCCACACTACTCCCAAGGATGTAGAGAAGGAGCTGAATGCCCTCTATGATGTGTTTCTGGATGTCTCCCAACGCTGGCAAAATGAGGTAGGAATATAGCTTGCACAGTAGAGGGGATGGTGGGACTACCCTGTGGCAAAATCCAACCACTTGTTTCATCTTTAGAATGTGATCCTGCTTGGAGACTTCAATGCTGACTGTGCATCCCTGACTAAAAAGCGTCTCAACAGCCTGCTACTGCGGACTGAGGCAGGCTTCCACTGGGCCATTTCTGATGGGGAGGATACTACAGTGCGGGCCAGCACCAACTGTACCTATGATCGAATTGTGGTGCATGGGCAGGGCTGTCAGACACTGCTGAGGGCTGCAGCACCCTTCAACTTCCCCAGGAGCTTTCAGCTGACTGAGGAAGAGGTAGAGAAGCTGTGTTGGGATAAAGGCTACACGATGGCCAAGGGTAGAATTGAGGTGAGTTGACAGGAAAAGCCCCAAACCCAGGAACTGACACTTCTTGCTGTCATCTCTCCCAAGGCTCTCAGCATCAGTGACCATTATCCTGTGGAGGTGGAGCTGAGCCAGGCAGCTCATGGCATCCAGCCCTTCAATTTGGCCATTCTGCTCCTGCTGTCACTTTTGCCATCTCAACTGAGCTAGGTGGCTTTTACCTAACGACTACTGACTTGACTCCAACACTGACATCTCCTGGAGCTGAATCAAGACCTGAAGGGCTTCAACTACAGCCTTCCTTTTCTTTTTATGTATACTTCCTGCTGCTTGCTATTCCAAGAGGAAGACAGGGCTTTTTATCTCCAATACCCTTGGTTTTAAATATTCAGAATAGACTTGTCACTGCATGCCATTCCATGTTAATTAGTGAGAAGCAGAGACAAAGGCTAGGAATGGACTCAAGGACATAGACTACATCTATGCAAGGTTTCTGCAACTCACATCTAGAACCAGGCAGGAATATATCCCAGATACCTCTAACAGAAAGTGAGCTCGCAAAAAAATATGCTTGAGACATGAACTCATTAAAGATCCCTATAACACTAGCTTGCAAAAAGCTCTGGTAGCTATGATTAAACTTTATGGGCTAGTCTTGTCTCTGGATCATATGTCCACGTTACACCTGCTCTGTATTCATTAATATGAGTCTGTCAGGTTTAAAATGTTCCAATAAAATTGCCAGTTTTAACTCTTTGTATGCTCAGTTCACTAAGTTGCCCTGTGTAGCTGCCAAACTACAACCAAATCTTAAGAATCACATACAACCAAGTAGTCAGTAGTGGCACATGGCTCTCAGTTTGAGGCCAAGCCTGGTCTACAAATTGAGTTCTAGGACATGCAGGGCTGTCACAGAGAAACCTGGTCTTAAAAAAACAAAAGAATCAGATACAAGTACATAAGCACATTGGATGTGAAATTTATTACTGAACATGATTTGTTAGGGTATAGGAGAGCACTGTCGAAACTCTCAACGAAGCTCTCAGGAGTGCAGGGCTCGCCACTTGTCCAGGGGACCACGATTAGGGATATATTTAACCCCACAGCCATCAGGAATGAGCCGTTTCTCAGCAACCATGTCTTCAAATTCATCTGCATTAAACTTGGTGAAGCCCCACTTCTTTGAGATGTGGATCTAGAGGAAGATAAAGAAAGTCAGTGAGGACCTCAGAGCAAGAAAAGAAAAGGGAACTTAGTAATATCACCTACCTTCTGGCGGCCAGGGAACTTGAACTTAGCTCTACGAAGAGCCTCAATCACATGTTCCTTATTCTGCAGCTTGGTGCGGATGGACATGATGACCTGGCCAATGTGAACCCTGGCTACTGTGCCCTGGGGCTTCCCAAAGGCACCACGCATACCCGTCTGGAGCCTAGATTGGGGACATCATTGAGATCAGAAACTTGAATAACTGAGAAAATTGTCTCCAAGGTCCCTTAGGGCAGCCTATATAGGCAATAGGATGCATACACTACCAAGGAGGCTGCTGTTTGCAACCATTGCACACCAAGCTCCCATGGGGAAGGGGACCTGGTCGGCTTAATTGGCTGCACAAAAAATTCCCAAAAATCATTTGCAAGGCATTACTAGTTCTTCAAAACCCATGTATGATTGTAATGGTCAGAAGAGTATGAAAAGTACAAAAGTTTCCTCTTTAGGGCCAGAGGCTGATAATCCTTAGTTGCATGCCTTTGAACCACTAATGTGCCCGGTGCTCTTGACTGGGGGTGGGGGGCACAAACAGAAATTACAGGACACAAATGTGGGAAAGGGTGAGACTGCCACCTTACCTGTCAGCTCCAGCACAGGACAACATCTTGTTGATTCGGATGACATGGAAAGGGTGGAGCCTCACTCGAATATGAAAGCCATCCTTGCCACAACTCTTTACCATGTATTTGTTGGCACAAATACGGGCAGCCTCTAGAGCTGAGTGGGGAGAAAAGCATCAGTGAAAACAGGATAGAGGCAGGTCTGGAGATGAATGTCATGTTAGTGGGATAAATCACACAAAAAACCTCAAATTAGTGAAGTGCCCACTATCATGTAGATGTAGAGTATACAGGAAAAATGTTCAAAAAAAAAAAAAGAGATCATTACCTTCAGAAGAAAGCTGCTCATATTCATCTGACACCATGTGGCCACAAAGTGGGAATTCATCTACTTTTGCCTTCTTCCGTCCCAAATCGAAGATTCGAATTTTAGCATCTGAAAAACACAAACACGTGGTACTTAATGTCTGTGAAGTGGGAATCAAGACATCACAGATCCACATCTGCAAGTTTGTCATCACTTACCAGGGACACCTCGGCAGAAGCGAGACTTTGGGTACGGCTTGTTCTTACAATATCGGTAACTGCAGGAGCAAAGAAGTCAGATGTGACAAGAATAGCAACTAAACACAGCCAGCTTTCAGTAGTGACAAAGGGACAAGTCCAACAATGAATTCATTCTGTTAGTGGAGTCTGACTCTAAGGCAACTAATTGAACAGATTGACATATAAGACCTATAAAACAAAACCAAGTGCCAATAATCAAGCCCTAATCAGAGTAGGGCGAGACAGCACATATTTTTCCATAAGACTTCAGAACATGTGACATAAAACCCGCCTCAGCCACGTGAAAAGAATATGGCTCCCTCTGCAGGGCACGCGGCTACGTAGTGCCAGTGCCTTCAACTGCTTGGCCTGCCCTTAGTGTCCGGTTGAAACCACAAAGCACGCGGCACGGAAGTAACAAAGATGGATACAAAAGTACCTAAAAAGGCATGGGAGTATTTGTGACAAGGTTCACCTGAGAGACATAAGGTTGGGTACATTCACACATAATTCTTGCTCTACACAATCCGTTTAAAGTAGTTAACCAACCCACAAGCTTGAAAAGACAAAGCCCCCAAGTACTAAAGAAAACATGGGATCAATTTTTATTTCAACGTCGCTGAGTGACGGAGAGTCCACCCTCAAAACATAAGAAGAAATGAGATTATTCTTCCATTTTTACAGCAGAAAAATAGTATGGATTTGACACTCACCACCGGGCAGGGCGGCGACCCATGATGACAATTTGATTGTCGGTAATGGATCGGCTGTAATGAGACGTTCAAAGTAAGAATACAGACCCACAATACATGTAAGAGTCCCAAAGAAGAACGATGAAAGCACCGAACACCATTAAGGAACAGAACACACTCACCGCGCCAGAGGAAAAGAGACGCTCTCAAGCCTGCGCATGCTTTATATAGGCGGCCTATCTTCCAGCGTAGGAACCATAGAGTTCCAGCCATGGGCTGGTGTGGACGCTCTATCAGACGCTGGATCATAGATGCAGCGGCGCTCTGCGCATGTGTACCAGGCCGGCCTGAAACATGCGCAGAGCGATTTGGTGACTGGACACCGGAATCAGGCGGCGTGCTAGCGAATGGGGTTTCGACACATAGGCAAGAGAAATCAGCTTCCGTCTGGCCTTTGGGGCGGGGCATTGGCAGACTTTGCTGTCACTAATATTCTGACAATTTTCTAAGACTTGAAAAGAGCAGTTTTTCAGAGTGAACTGTGCGGTCACGCAGGTATTTCCTAGTTTAATAGGGCAGCAGGATACTGGTTAGTGTTTTGCTCAAGGCTATAGGAAATGGCGCGAAAGCGCCATGCTAGATACCCGGAGTTCCTTTGTCAGCAGGGAGGTTGGGGCCGGAGACCCACCCACAACGCGTCTACCTACACGGAAGAGCCCACAAAGAGCACCATGATGGGCTGTCGGTTGCTCTCAAGAGGCCGACAAAAAACCTGTATAGGCGTTTGCGGTCGTCATCACTAGTTGGGCCTTCTCCACTTATCCTAAACTCTCGGGAAAATAGAATTTATATTACCAAGGAGCTTGTAAACTGGGCAAAGACAGTGGCAACACCACTTACTCCATTTAGCTAAAGAGGGCCTCAGTGCCTTGGGCCACGCCCCAATAGGGCGTCAGAGCTCCTTTGCAACAGGTTCCAAAAGAAAGACAAGGTGGCACATGCATTTAATCCCAGCACTGGGCTCTGGAGGAGTACACAGGCGGCTCTCTGTAAGTGAGAAGCCAGCCTGGTCTACAGAGCAAGTACTAGGACAGCTAAGGCTGTTACATAGAAAACCCTGTATCGAAAAATTTAGAGAGAGGAGGTGTAGCACACCCTTCTTTTCACTATGACCACTTCAAAATGTACATCTGGGAGTGTCTAGGAGACTGACAGCTAACTACTGACAACTTTCACATACAAGGTTACTATCCAGGGAAACACAGGGAAAATACTGTTCTGACCCAGGAGCATGTGTCTGGACATCTATCACTGAGGGAGACATGATAGTGACAATACTGTAGAGAAAGCCATTGCCTTTTCTAGAAGTAAAGGCAGGAGTATGAGCCTTTCTTCTCTACAGTTTTTGGTGCAGCTCTTGGGTACACAGGCCTAGCTTGTTCCATCATGCTTAGGAGCTCCAGCCCCAGCCCAGAGCTAGTAGGTTTCCTTTGCCTCTCTTCCAAATTGCTTCCCTGGGACAGTTCCTGTAGGCTTCTACACAGTAGAAGTCCATTCCCACACATTGCCATCTATCCTCTGAAGACAGCTATGTCCAGCCATTCCTTTCCCTGATTGGTATTTATGCAGTTGGGAAGGTTGCTGGCTCTTTAGCTGAAGGGGGATAAGTGATAATCTAGCTTGCTTTATTTATTTGTTTGTTTGTTTTTGAGACAGAGTCTTACAATATATGGCCTTGGCTGGACTGACCAGGGTGACATTGAATTCAAACTCAGACAGCTACCAGCTTCTGCCTCCACAGTACTGAAATTAAAGGCATGGTTCTAGCCTGGGCCTAACATATTACTGCTATGGGAAAAGATCATTTCCCAGAGTCACCCACAGGTACTCAATCCTTTCCCTTTTCTCTTGTCATTCTTCTCTTACTCCCTCTGGGCTATCCTAGCTTTAGGCTCACTCAGGATGGACTGCCCTCTGCTGTTTCCCAACTGCTGTGTGGCAGGTAACCCCATAGTTAGTGCCTTCCGCAAGAACGGCACTTCTGTTCTCTAACAGTTTGTTTTTTTTTAGATTTATTTGTTTACTATAAAAAACTATGTATTTATTGTGTATTTATATATTTTGACCTCTTTTTAAACTAAACATTTTTTGAAACAAGATCTGTGTCTCCTGTCTGGCCTGAAACTATGTAGATCAGCCTAGCTTCCATTTCACAGAGCTACACCTGCCTATTTTTCCAGTGTTGGGACTGAACACCTGTGCCACCACACCCAGCCACTTATTTTTATGTTTGTGAATGTTTTAGCATGTACGAATGTAAGTACACCACATGCACATCTGAGCTGGCAGAGGACAGAAGAAGGTGTTAGATACATGTCGATGCTGGGAACTGACCTCAGGTACTCTGCAAGAACAACAGTGGTCTTACAACTAACCCTTCACTTCAACCATTAGATTTATTTTTGTGTTGTTCAAAAGTGCTGGGCCATGCTTTGCAAATCTTTAACACCTGCCCACAGGTAGGACCCTAGGGTCTTTTGGAGACAGTGTGGCCACTCTTGGCACCTACAAGCAGAGCCTCTCCAGCTGTCACAAATCAAGGGTTCTGCTTTGGCTACAGATCAAGTTTATTGTCTGCACTTAATTTGGCCTTGGACTGCCTGTTGTGGGCTAGTGTTCTGCCCCTTGGGCCCATCTCACCGACTGTGGCAGACTGGCCTCGGTGTCCTCTCTGGTCTGGGTGTTGTAGAAAAAGGATACACCTGCCCTCTGTTGGGGTCTGAGGGAGAGGGACAAGGAGGGAACTGTCATACACTGCCCTGTCTCTGGCAGTCCTTGGCAGGTGCCATGACTCAAAACTGGTGCCCTCTGCTCGTAAGGATCCAGGCATTAGGCTGGCCTGCCCCTGTCACCTGGCAGAATGCACTCAGGCAGTACTCTGGTCAGCCCAGGGTTCCACGAGTACTAGTCTGCACGCGGGTGCAAAGGACCCCTTTAAAAGTCAGACCCCTGCCCGCTTACGCTCTCTTTCCCACTGCTCCCCTGGGGCAGACAGGACTCTTCCCTTTTTCTGTCTCTTCTCTCCTGTCCTCTCTCTGTCTCTGTGCCTCTTTACCTCTTTCTTTCCTTCCCCCCTCAGTCCCCTTTCTAATAAAACTTCTCACTCAAGCCCTATCTGCCTGGCACGTTTGTCCCCCACCTTGGTCACCCTCGCCTGCCATGGGATCCACCAAGGTCCCCACAAGCTTTGTCATTAACACTGCCTGCCTTCACCTACCAGTCCTGGGACCCTGGTGATCTCCTCCTGCCACCCACCTGAGTCTCCCTGCCTCTCTTTCCAGGCCCTGGCTGCCTGGCATGTGCATTGGGTATCTGCTCTTCCACTGAGGTCTGGAGCCCTCACCCTCTAGCTGTCTGCAGCCTCTGTGGGTTATTCCTAAGATCACCTGCTGCTTGCCCCCTCTGCTCTATTCCCACCCTGACCCCTTGGCCTGGGCCAGACCTCTAGAAGCCCAAGGGACTACAGGACAGTTTCTGGTGCTG